GCGGGGGTTTTGTCTGAGCCCCGACACTAATAGCAGCCTGCCCCGGCGTGTAGGGCGTGAGAGAGCAAATGAAGGAGAGGAAATCACCTGCGTCCAGCTTCTGACTGATAACCTCCATCGATCAGTGTCTAATAGAAACACAATGGCCCTTTCCAACGGGAAGTCGGCAGCTGCCTCCTCTTGCATCATGGGATGTGAGATAAGGGCTGGCATTTTCTTCTCCTGTAATCGATGCTTTGAGACGTTTGGAAATACCTCGCAAGCAAGTTCCTCGTTGTAGAGCAGCACCACGGGGTGCAAACAGCACCGTGGAGGGAGGGTGGGGGGGGCTCCGTGTCATGCCGTGGGAGGTGATGCAAAACAAGCAGCACCACCGTTTAGCAATTTCCTGTCAGCAGGGGCCTGTCCAAGCCACCCGGCCGCCCGCATCTGAATGAAATGTCACGCTCTGGTCACACTCGCTGTGGTGAAATGAGGGAGATTTGGCATCCTCGGTTGGCCCTGAGCAGGGAGGTGATGCTTTGCTGTTGTCTCTCCGACGTTGGCAGGGTGATGCCAGCTTGATCCAGAGCCATGTCCAGGTACTTAAAGCACTTCACGGTGGTGGGGGATGACCCCGTGCAGTGGAGCAACGACTATCAGAAATGGGAGGATGAGGAGGATGAGGCTGGGGAGAAGCAGCTGGATTCAGAGATCAAGCTGGAGCCCGCCAGGAGCCACATCTCCTTCAAGGACATGATGAAAAAGCTCTTCAGCTCCCGCAAGTTTCAGGTGAGGCAGAACAAACCCAGGCCAAAGGGAAACAAGTACGGGACTTGGCCAAAGGTGCCTGTGACAGCAAAACCAGTGTGGGATAGAGCTCGAGGCGGGCTGGGAGCAGCGCCGAGCTTGGGAGTGCTTGTGGTGCCTGCAAGAGTGGCTGCTGCCTTTGAGCTGAGCCGTCCTGTCGGAAACAAGCTGCTTTGCAGCAGGTGCAGATGTTTCCTGAGCGGTGACAAGCCTCAGTGCATGCTCGTCGCAGCGCGGGTGGAGGCACGTGCTCTCCCACGGCTTGAGCTCCCAAGACACCCCCCCGTCACGCCAAGTGGTGGGAAACGGCTGGGTTTGGTGGGGAGCTGAGTGGTTTCGTACGGGAGACACTTTGCAGGAATAACCCACCAACCAGGGGAGTCCTGGGTGGGAGCAACAGAAAGCTCCATGAAATATAACCAGCCAAAATGGGGATGCAGAGCGTTGGGGCATATTTAGCTGAAGGCTGCTCTTGCTGGTCTGTCCGTGCTGGGAGAGGGTTCACGTCGTTTCTTCTCCTCCGACAGATCGTGGTTGTCTGCTTGGTCATCCTGGATGCCTTGTTGGTCCTTGGTGAATTGCTAATGGACTTGAAAATCATCCATCCGGACAAATATAATATAACTCCAAAGGTAAAATGCAAGGAAATGTCAATGTGAACCATGATTTCCCCCCTCTCTGGCATTCAAAGCCTGTTAGATAGGACGACTGGGCAGGCAGGACCTGCGCCTTCAGCCTTGCCGAGCCGGCAGTCATGGGTGCAAGGACGAAGGTCTCACAGACTCGTGTGACAGCCCTGCGGTGTGCGGGGCTGGCCTGGCTCGGCTCGTGCCAGTCTGTGCAGCAGCTTCACGTTTCTTCTGGCTGCAGCAGAGCTGAATCGCTCTCACCACCCTTCTCCTGGTTGTCTTCACACCTCCTGGTCTGACTTACCCAAAGCTGCTGGCTGCCCAGCCATGCTCACTCTGGTTGTCCTTTAGAGCAGAAGAAAAGTCCCCAGCACTGCTCCTTGTTGAGTCAGATCAGCTGGGCCTTCGAGTGGTGGAGGTTCTCCAGCTTGCCCTGCTCACATGCACACAGGAGGGTTTCCTGGCCCTAAACTTGCACTGTCTTTTCCCAGGTTTTCCACTACCTCTCCCTTTCCATTTTAACCATCTTCCTGGTTGAGATGGGGTTTAAAGTCTTCATCTACCGCTGGGAGTTCTTCCACCACAAGTTTGAAGTGCTGGATGGGATTGTTGTCATCGTGTCGTTCATCCTCGACATCATCCTCATCTTCCGGGAACACGAGTTTGAAGCTGTAGGGCTCCTGATACTCCTGCGGCTGTGGCGCGTGGCCAGGATTATCAACGGTAGGTGTGCACGGCTGGTCGGGAGCTTTCCCTTGTGCGTGGGCTGGATTTGCCGACCTTACCTGAATTATCTGGGGTCGCATCTTTGTTCCCTTCTCAAAGCCACCTGTGAGACGCCAGGGTCTTACTCTCCCAGTGAACTCAGAGTTTCACCCGTGCGATTTTCCTTGCTGGAGTGTGGCCTTAATTAGGATGTAACTTCTTTGGAGCAGCAGCAATCTGCCGCTTGTGTTGGTGCGATGCCTCAGTGATGGGGGCACAGCAGCTGGCCCGGGCTAATGGAGATGCCCAGCTCTAGCATGGCAGCATCAGGCACATTCCCCTTAAAACAACCCAAAACCTGTTCTTGCATCCCTCCCTCCTAGAAGGGGATGGCTCATGTCTTAAGTTTGCATCGTAGGATCCTTTTGGCAACACTGTAAGAGGGGAGCAGGGTAAAACCCTGTCCTCCTGAATCTACTTCTGTAGCAGAATGGGTTTTACTGCTCTGGTGTTCTGCTGCGACTCTGTCATCCCCTCCAGGGATGCTGCAGGGAACGTCCTCATCTCACTTGGGATCTTTTTTTGTTTGGATTCAAAGGGCTCTCTGTAAAAAGGGGAAAATCAGACTTTACTGACTCTGCTGTTGTGATTGTAAATTGTTGCAAGTAGATGTAAATTCAGACACTTCTGAAACGTTTTCTTTCTTCTCTGGGAAAGAATGTTGGGATTCAAAAAATGTGGCAATGGGATTGTCCCCAATTCCTGCATGAAACCTCAGCCCAAGTGCTCTCCTGTGCCTACAAGCGCACTTTTGGTGAGCATTCTGCACTTGATGCAGCTGTAACTCTTGTTACCTGGAACAAAAGGAGAGGATGGCTGGGGCCAAAACCGTCCCCTGCAGCCTCCCCTGCCATTTTGAAGGGGACAATTTGCCTGATCGGCAGCACTGGCCAAGAAAAGGGAAGATGTGAGAGCAGCTTGCGGCTCTTTTTTAGTTCGGAGTGAAATTCAAGAGAAACCAGATCCGTGTGCAGCTGCGTGAACCACAAGAACTTCTGTGTCTCTTCACACGCTGTTTTACAGCAGAAAACCAATATTGTATTTACAAGTAAATCTCCTTATCCTTGGGTGCTTCTGGTTTTCTCCCCAAGCTTCTTGCCATGCCCATCTGCTTGGAGCAATGGAGGGGACAAAGAAAATCTGCCCCAAGCTTTGGGTGTTGGGTGTCTAAGCCTAGGCACGGTTCAGTGCCTTCAGTCACTGTTGATTGATCGGGACCAGGTTACAGGCAGGTGGGGACCATTTGATGTTAGCAATGCAAATAAGCAGCATCGCTGCTTTGTCTTCAGAGAAATGAGCCCCCAAACCCCAAGCCTGCTGCCTGTAGCACTAGAAACACAGGCACGCATCAGTGCCTGCCTTCCTGCACGTTGTTCTGTCAACAGCCGGAGGACAGCTCTGGCGGGTAGGAAGAACGTGATGTTCTTGATGCTCTTACCAAGGCGCCTTTTTTTTTTTTTTTTTTTCTTTCCCCTCTTGGTAAAGGGTGGGAAGAAAATGCCGTTGCTGTGGGGGCTGAGTTCACGTGTAATAACCTAACCTATATTTCAGTAAAGAAGTGCCACCTCCGCTGTAACGAGAAATGCGTGCCCTTACTGCAGCCACGCGAGGTGAAGCCAAAGCCTTAAGGACCTGATGATGTGCCCTGTCCCGTTAGCTGTGCTGTGTGCTGCTGTTAGAGCAAGGCTCCTGACTACCTGAAACCAGCTAAAACACAGCCCCTCATGACAACAAAGCTGCCAGTTACGTGTCCCCCCCCAGGCTCTGCCAAGGGAATGAATTCAAATTCAGGATTTGAATGACAGTTTGACTGATTAATTCAGCTCAGAGGCCAGACTGCCTCTTCCCAGCAGAGTATCGGTATCTGAATCCCTGGGGTGGCTAATTTAAAACCCTCCTCATTAAGAAAAGCACTTGGGAAGGGTGGTTTGAAGATGACAGAAGCAGAGCTTGAGAGGAACACATTTAACTCCTTGAGTACAGACCCTGTATACTGTTAACCTCCTCCTCGTGGCTGGTTTACATTGTAAAACGAATCCACTGTGAATTGTTTCACAGGAATAATTTTATCGGTAAAGACCCGCTCTGAACAACAAGTGTCCAAGCTAAAGCAAGCAAACCTGAAACTTGCAACGAAGGTGGAACAACTGGAACACAGCTGTGTAGAGAAGGTAAAAAACCCCACTTAATTTAATCGAAGTTTAGCCACTGGCTGCTCCCTGGGACAATCTGGCTTGGGATTCTTTTGCAAGGTTGCCACTGTTCAGGTTGGTTTCCTCATCAGAAAGTTGTGGGGTGAGCTGGGCTGAAGAACCGGAGCCCTGCCTGTCCTGCCCGTCCTTCCCTTAGCTGCTTCTCTTGCAAAGAAATGACGGCTACCTCTGGCCTGCTTCCTTCAGCCAGGTTGTCCTGTTTTACTGCAGCGTGAGATACATTCCAGCAGTGGGAAGATCTGTGGGAACCTGGGAAACTATTTTAAGGTAAGAGCTATATTAATGATTTGACTTTTGTCTCCTCCAGGAGCAAGAAATTGAGAGGCTTAACAAGATACTAAAACAGCACGGACTTATCAGCGAGCAAAAATAGGAGGCCAATTTTCCAAGATCTGTCCTGGAGAGTGTAGTGTTGAAATCTGCTGGTTTGACCTGAACGGTTTTCCTGTCTCTTTGCTTTCTCTTGTATAGTGTTGTCTATAAACATTTTCTATTTGACCACACTTTGATTAGATCTTGGGATTGCAAAAATGATTTTGCTGGAAAATTAATCACGCGTACTCCCTGTAAACAGTGATTTCGTAAGACGTTTCTTGTACAGTTGTACAGTCAAAACCGCAAAATAATTTAATAAAGACACATCTTTACAAGCTGTACATCTACAAAAGTACCACTTATTTTGAATAATTAAATTTTTCTGTGATAGTGTTCTTTGTTTGCAACATCTTGTAGAAACTTGCAGTACAAAGGATAAAAATCCAGGCTGAGAAGGTCATTTCTTCTCTACAAGCTGACCATTCATCATTAGTACGTCTCTTCTTTGCCAACCATTCTTTTCACGTTGTTGGTAGTTTCCTCATTTCTGTTGCTGCTTGTGCCACTTTATTTATATAACGTTCATTTCAAAAATACTACCCCACCACTCCTTTAGTTGACAATCAAATCAGCACCAAAATAGAGGCAAACATGTGCCATCTTACATCAAACAGTGCCTTGTTCTCAGCAGCAGATTTGAGTTCCGATACCGCGTTCTCTCATCTCTTCTTCCATTTGAAATGTTCGTTTGCAGCCCGCTGGGCTACAAAGTTCTTTCTGTTTCCACAGCTCATAAATCAACACATTAAAGAATTAGAATATGTAAGAACAGATGTAGGTGAGTGGACTGCTGGGAACAGTTAGACTACAGAAGAGCTGTTAGAAAGCCTGTTCTAAAGGACCAGGCTGGTGTTTGAACACAATGTGAACTTTTTCAGGTACTGGAAGGTCCCTGTGGTGAGACTATTTTATAGTTGAAGAGTAAGATTCAGTAAGTGGGAATTTTGAAAGGTGTTGACTGTGGCAGGCGTCTCCAATTGATTTCAGCCAGAGTCAGCGGGAAGGGTCATTGAGCTTTTCTGAAAGCCTAACTTAACTGCTCAGATTTTTTAAAGAAAGGTAATTAATTAGTGGTTTGGGAAAAATAGCTAGAAATGTGTGGCTTATTCATCTATGAAAACAGATAAAGCAGAGGCCTTATCTAACAGCACATGATTACTTTAATTAACAATTTAGCTCTGCTGTTCACAGAATAATGAAGCCTACTTTCCTCTGGAGCCATACTGTGTCCCTGTGCTCTTCCCTTCCCCTCCTGCCTCCGCACTGCTGGGCAGGCAGCCCGGACTAGCACTGCTTCAGAGCATCCGATGTGCTGGGAGGCTGTTGGCTGTACGTGTGCCGACTGGCCAGCTAGAGCCACCAGCAAGTTCATGCTGCAACCTTTCTTCCTCTCGGCAGAGCTATAATTGGGAACTTTCCACTTAATCTGGGGGTTTTTTTCTGCCCTAAAGCTTCTGAGAACCCTCACAAGGGTTCATCCTTTCTCTCTTAGCCAATTTTAACTCTGTGTGTCTACAATTTAGAAGAAACTGATGGCCCATCACAGTGGCTGGAGAAAGCTCGCTGCTTTAGGAAGTGGACTAAAAATCAGGAAAAAACATAAATATGGCTTTTTTTGGATGCATACTTACCTTAGACAAATGGAAAGAAAAAATCAAAGGGTAATTTGGCATTAATGGTGGGCCAAGCTTTATAGCCTGGCTCTGCAGGTGAAGAAATATCAGTGAAAACAACAGAACTTGTTATGGGAACAGTCCTTTCCCTTCCTGAGGGAAGCTGCAATGAAAATACAAACAGTCATTAGCTTCAGTCTTCTCCTTGTACGACTGCCTTGTTTTGGACTGCTTGTATTTTCGGCTGTTATTTGTAAAAAAGTTTTGGGTTTTTTTCATATACAGTTCCATGTTTCTTTTCATGAATGATGTATAGATTTTTTTTTTGAAATGTGTTTTGGCAAGCAGCCCACAGTTGTGTTTGAGTTGGAAGAGAAACTGGGGTGTACCACATTCTAACATGAAGTGCTACCTTTAGATAAAGAGATTAACTGGGTCACTGTCGCACAGCTGATACCTAAAAAGAATGGCTTGTTTTGCTTATCTTAAATCCTGTAATTTAATTACATACCTGCTTCAATGTGGTGGTAGTGATCGATGCTGTAACGTTCACTATTCTGGCTTGTGGATTGACTAGGGATCCATATTTAGTCCACTTCACTTCTATTTCAAGTGATACTGGTATTTGGCATGAGCTCTGAAAAGTGTTATAAATTCTCTCATTGTCTGACTTGTACAGAAGCAACCACATTAATTATTCATCTTATTAAACTGGCAGGATGCCCCCAGAAAGCTCGCTCCGGGAGGTTACCAGAGCAACTAGGCCACGCCTGTGCCCGGCACTGCTGCCTGTTCAGGCAGCATAGGTGCTTGTAGCCTTGGCTCGGGGTGTCCCTGCAGTTTCTCCCTAGGTGACAAACCAACTCTGTAACTGCATTTCAGGCAGGACCGTTCTACCTGAGTAGGGCAGGACTCCTTTGGCTCTTAAGTCCTAAGCTGGCTCTTTTTAGTAAGGAAGACTTATTTCAGTAATACCGCTGGAACATTAGAAAATCCTTAACTCTGCCAGGGCAAAATTTTGCAGCCTACAATATTAAATATTTTTAGGTATTCTAGAACTGTCAAGTTTCTGGTTACAGAAATCACTCACTGTTTAGTTGCAGAAGCATGCAAGAAATCTATATACCAGTTGCCATTGAGGGGGTGCTATCATTTGGCACATGCCAAGCAGCACTGCCTACCATCAACAGCAGGGGCTGCGCTGCATCAGGAGGAAAGGGCTAGTATAGAAGATGTTAAGAATAAATGTAGTGTTTGGGTCACTCAAGTATACTGTTTCTGTGCTTTAAAGGATTCTGTGCTTTAAAGGAGTCTTGCTATCTCATTCTAAGATGGCATAAGAGCACCAAAGAGAAACACTGATTCTGTTACTTCAGTCTTTCAACCTGACCTCTTGTGCTTCATCCCATCTGAAGACCAAGATTCTAAACTGTGGCTAGAGCTCATTTTGTACCTCACATGTTGTCCTGATCCTAACTGACAGGCCTGGATACCAGCTTGATTAAAAGCAAACCCTGTCTTCTGCAGCAAGATTGAAACTCCTCATTTGTGAATATTCCAGTAGGAGGTTCCTCCAGTTTTTTTCTGCATTTCTTTTTTCCCCCCTAGGTATGAGAAACCTAAGCTGATGCTGCAGTACAGGTACAGATCTTGGGAGAGAGAACAGTAAGAGTGAAGGGGGTGGTGGTAACTTTCACCTGTTCTGAGGTGTGGAGGTGAGTTATCGGCACCCAGTCGAGCACATCCTGGCTTTGAGAATTTCCAAATGAAGCCACGTATTCAGGAAAGCTTTGTCCCTTCAGTAAATCTAGGAGGGTCTGAGTCAAAGGCTTGCACTTCATAGCTGCAGTAATTCTTCCAGGAAAAAAAAAAAAAAAAAAAAGATGAGTTAAAGCAAAGTCCAGTGGTTTGGCACAGTAATAATTTCTCCTCACTGTCATGCACTGTTGAAGCCTTCTGGCTAGAGTTGCTAAAGTACACAATCTTTTAAAGAGAAAGACCATTGTTAATTAAATGACATTTTTTTAATAATTAAATACTCCTACAGCAGTATAAATGCCCCAGAACCTGAACAGATCTTAATGGAAAGGGTTGTCAGAAGGTTAAGAGCACTAAATCAAAAAAAAAAAGATGTGTCCTCTTACCGTAACTTACAGCCTGATATCATGTTATAACCAAATAATATTGGGGTTCTGGCTCCCTGAGCTGCCAGACAGTCCTGGTTGGATGTACTTTGCAGAATGGTAAGTTGACTGTATTTGTTGGTATTCTGAATGATGCCAGATGTAACACAGAGTTAAAGGGAAATGCAATACTTGACATATATCATGAAGACAGAATCCTTAATCATATCCTCAAAATATATCTGAAAATGCTATAATAGCTCAAGACTCCTCTTACACCATGAAGAAGCACAAGAATGTACAATGAAGGTCTAAATCTACCTTACTAAAAAGCCCCGGGAGACTGCAGTCAGGACTGAGTCATTCGCTACTTCTAAAACATAGCCAAAAAAGCACACTTGCACTTTTGTTAAAGAACAGATACATTTTATAGATGTCCATGCTAGAAAGTGTTTGTGAAGATGGACCAGAATGAGTGCAACAAAGAAAATTTCAATAGGGAAAGGATATCCTTGTGGCCGGAAGCCCGCTCTTATAGGCAGTCCAACAACATAACCAGGATTACCACTGAGAGGAACTGGCTTTGTATTTACCTGCGATGCAAACATAGAGTATTAGTTCTTATCCTGTACTGAAATGGTTTGAAAACACAGAAATATTTCACTTATTTTAGGATTATTAGCTGCCTTGAACAATGACAGTAGTAAGACTGCTCTGTAAGATTTTAACAGTTCTCTAACACTGGGGCAGGCCTTGCTTTCACTGGATACAGTAATAGAGTCACAAAATGACTCTTCTAAATGTGAACAACAGACTTTGGAGACCTTTATTACCCAGTTCTGAAATGCTGCCTCATTTGTGTATCCAGGGCAAGTTACATTTTACCTTGCTGCCAACAATTGTTCTGATTCAAGTTTAAGAAGTTTTGTAATTAAATGTCTTTCAACAAGTCATCCGTAACATCTCTAGCACTTACCTGAGTAAAGCTGATTTCAAAGCTCTGCTGTATTGAAAGTGCTTCTTTGTTAATTGCCCCCAAGACAAAAGAAGCAGCTGCTTCTATTATTTCTCCTGCGCCTGTGTATGTAATGTGATAACTCACCTGAAAAATTAAACATTTTAGATATTAATTAGAACGAATACATAAGAGTATGAAACTAGAAAAAAGGAATTTAAAACTCTGGATTGTTTTCCTTCTTCCTTGCTTAAGAAACACTCAACTACATGGTAGAGATATACTATATCCTCAATTGTAATAAGGATGGGTCCAGAAAATGGGAGGAACTGAAGCACTGCTCAGTAGGTGACTAGTCATTTTGCAATGACAGTGTATTAAAAACACAAAGACCTGCCTCAGTATCTGAGGTAGCGTATGCTTTTATAAGCACTGATACTCAGGGACTGACAAGATACTTTCCCTCCGGATGCTGATCTAGCTTTCTCCTACAAATTAAGACACGTGGGTTGAAAATACTGCCTATTTATTCTAGTTTGTCACTCATTTCCTGTCTGCAAAGGGAGACAGTTTCAAGAAAAGCAAGAAAA